AGAACATAGATTGTTATGACACTTAATATATATATATATATATATATATATATACATATATCAACTTTAAAATTTATAATTAGCTTTGCAAAGCTTAGAGTGGTAAGTTTGAACTACCTTTACATATATTATGACTATTTAAAATAAAAAAGATCATAAATCCTTATGTGGTGGCATAAAAGCGAATATTCACACTACATGTTGTTTGTAGTTAAGCAAAAAGCTAAAAAATGGCCAATCTGTGCTGTATCCACCACAGGTATCGAATCTCAGTTATAACCCTTACCGCTGAGTTACTTGGTTGTATATATTTTATAAAATTATTATAAGGTTTAAATAGACATGCGTGAAAATATAGCAACAGAAAAGAAACCCAATGAATCAATCACTCTCGGAAAGTGTAATCTAGCCAGTCAAAGGTAGACAGAATAGAGGATGTAAAAAAAGGAGATGGAAAGATAGGATAGATCAAGACATGAGAGAGATGGGTGTAATGACAGAGGATGTGGAAAACAGACATTATTGGAAGATTACCCGAGCCGTTGACTTGAAAACATGAGAGGTCGAATGAAGAACATTCTACTGCTAATTCTTCTCAATGTTTTCTAAGCTTCGTGTTCTCCAACATCATTCAGATTTTACTTAATTTCTACTTTATATACATATCAATACACCTTGATTTGATACTTCACCGATGCTGGAATAAGTGTATTCCGAAATGTTCTACTCATGTAAATAAAATACTACAATTTCTAAAATACACATACAACGTGCTACAATTGAACACTGTGATTATATACTAAAAAACAATGGGAATTGACTTTGGTTTCCTCATTTATTGATTTCATGAAAATGTGTTTAAGTTTAAAAACTTAAAGAGTACTAGAAAAAGGTATAATTTAGTTTTTGTTTACATTGCTGTAAGAATATGCACTTAGGAGGGAAATACTGTTTTAACAGAACTACTGTATTCTTCACCATGGTCCTTGGGGAAAACCTACTAACCAAAACAAAAATAAAGCCAATATCACGATGCCATCAAATTAGCACCCTAGGGGAGTACCTATGTTGCCTGTCCTGGGCATGTTACTACCAATACTATTAACTAACACGAGTTCCTGTATCACTCAAATACAAAACTTCTAGTTTAAAATCTAAGCCTAACAGTTAGTTCAACAGTCTATTCTTATGAGGTCTCCATGCACTTACTGACCTTATATTTAATTTTAAATACAAAAATTATATAAAGTGTAACAAACAACAACAAGAAAATATGTTTCTGCACATTTTCCACCAACACCCCTTACCTTAACCCACCCATCACAAGATGTTACTACACTGCTTAAAGTATCATTATTAATTTTCTATGGTTAACCACTTACTTGTGACAAATAGATTCAACCCCCCTCACCCCCGCCATGACTCAACAATAACTTTCTAATTCGGAGTTCAATCTATGTGGTGGTCACAGCCTTACATTTAAATAAAACAATCAATTACATCTGTTTTAACATCAACAGTACACTACACATATGCCAAAACACAGTGCCTTTTTAACATACATTTCTATTAAACTATTTTGTGCACTGACATGCAGGCTCTAAGAACCAGTGATGAAAGCTTTTATTTTCTTCTTCAACATATCAGGCTAGGAATATTTTATCTTTCCCACATTTTTAACCCAAACACCAGTTTCTTCATTCTTTGTCTTTATATTGTTTTTGGCATTGTTAGCTTTAATACTATTTGTGCATACATACATACATACATATTGGGATACACAAAATAATTTATAGAAAAAATAACTTACACTTACCATCTTTAACCTATAGAGGTATAATAACTTGACTTGTTAGTGGCACAATGTTTTAATGATTAGTTTGTATACATAAAATAACCAAGTTTATTATTTGTGTTTTTTTCATGTTTAAGCATTATTAATCATAAGATACTAAAACATGTCCCGTGAAAAACCAATTTATAATTCAATGTATATTTTATCTTTTGTACATAAATTCCTACATGGTTAGTTTTGCAGTGATCTCTACTGTTGATGGACTATGCCAGAGAGCGACTGTTAGCTAAAGTAAATGTTCACATATTTGACCAAGCAAATGTTTTATTACACAGTCTGTTGTGTTGTAGCTATAAGGGATACAGTCTAACTTGATAAAAATTGGAAACATGAGCATTGTGTAAAATATTACAAAAATAACAACCATTGTCCAAAGAATAGGTCCCTGAAATGCACTACTTATAAAAAATACTTTAAAAAATTATACTCTATTTTTTTATCTTTATCAATGCCATAAACAAATATGTCATCAACCCGAATTTCTGAATGTCCAGAAATAAACTTGTGTACGAGCCAAGTCAATATACTCATGGGGTATAACAATTACATTCACATTTAGCCAAGTTTATGAGAGCTATATGACATTGAATTTACTCAGTAACATATTCTTGTTTAATAAACGCTTATCTTCCAACTTTTCACACATTTATTGATTCAGTAAACCACCTCTTACAATTTTTCATAACTAAAAAATGTATCAAAATATGTACAGATGTAGAATTCATAACAATTTCTTCAAGAATGTGCTTCATAAGAAACTGTTTGTGTGAATTTATCTAAAAACAATAATAAAATTTCTAAAGAAATATAGGTAAAATAAGTTACTAGCACACACTTGCATGTAGAGCTGGTAGACATAGTTTAAATGACTACTGTTTGTATCTAAATAAAGGAGATTTGGTATTTTCTTTATTACCAAAAAACATATTATTAAAAAATATTTTGTATCAAAATGATTAAAGTATATTTTGATAAACATTGCACAAAAATACCTCTAAAAGTTTTTGTTTATGATACACAGGATTACGAAACCTTGTACTCGTACTTTATTTCTCTGTAATGTTTGATGTGAAAAATATCTTACCAAAGTAAATAACTTTACCTTTATCTCATTATAACATAATACTGAATTTCGTTATCTTTTACTTGTATGAAGTCAATCATTTTTAGCCAGTAGAAAAAAAATCTATAAAAAGTATAACAATTCACTAAAAAAAGAAAGTTCAAAGCTGTGTGAATCAGAACTACAGAATAAAGCATCTGTTGTAGATTTGATATACAATCACATTACTAAAAAACACTTCCCAATGTAAATCAGATCAAAAACAATGTATATACTCAACATTTATAGCAAAAACTGCAGTAAAATAAATATTTAGCTGGAAGAACATCACAAGTTTTGTTAAAATATATTTTCTAGAAACATATTTACAAATTTTTGAGTAAACCATATATTTTTTACTACCAAACAACTTAACATTTAGAAAATTGAAAGAAGTTTCCTACTACCCAAATATTACATTTTAATCTATGAAATCATTAGTGATGAGGAAACAACAGATAATATTGGTCAGGATGTGCCTTCTCAAATTTCTTAAGCCAGGACTTTTTCCTTTTTTCTGAAATATTGCTGTTCAAAACTGAACTTAAAAGCTGGTGGAGGGCTTGTGCTGTAATTGTGGTATGCTGTTCTCCGATTACTTGTTGACAGAAAACTGGACCTAGAGAGATTAAAGAAAGAATGTTGATAGTCTAATCGAATCAGTGCTCAGTTTAAGAGAAGAATATCATGCACTAAATAATTAATTAGTGTCCAACAAATGATAAGCCCTGGAATCAGATACAAGAATATCAGTACCTCCATTTGACTTCAGTGAACTGAGAAATCATACTTATATTCTGATATCACACAAAATGGTTTTCTAGTTATAACATGTTGATTACTGACACCTGTGGTAGAAGCACAAATAAGTGAAAAGTGAAATTAAATTTGGCACACACAAAACTAAAGTATTATAATTTACTACATGGCTTCTAAAATTTCTTCAAATGTCATTTCAAATATAATATTTAGTTCTTCTGTTTTTGTATAATTGGTTGAAGTGGAATAAGTGATTTATATATAGTATAGTATAATAAAATATAATACAAAATTATGTGATCTCATATAAAGAAAATTTTCAAATATTTTTTCCGTACATATAAAAATACACATTTTAAGAGTGAGACAGTTTTAAACAGCAACCATTCACCTAGTAAAGTTCTTCATTGCTCCTAGCAACAGTTAAGTTTGAGAAACATCCATACTCTCAAACCAGACAAATCTTTAAACTGTCTAGTATATCAATCATCCTAGCAATGTTTATTCTAATATTTACGTAAAACACTTGTTTTTTTTACACTGTTATTTGTTTTTCAAAATGACTCTCTCAGGTTTAGATGTATTACAGTTCGATAATGAAAAGTCTTGTACTTTCTATTTGATAAACCATTTTTAATATTGTATTGAACTTCTCCAACTCCAAATTAGGAATTAACATGAACATTTTAAGCATGAATTATTCTTGAAAAACATACAAATAAATAAGGCTTTTAAAAGAAAGAGATTAAACTTAAGAGAAATTATGTTTTGGTATTGTTAACTCATGAATAACACTGCACATTTTCTTACTTTAAGGGAAACACAAATGTGCTAAAACATTCTTATGGAGTTAATTTTACTGTAAAGTAAAATATGAGCTAACTGTTGCTAACAAAACTTCCAATGAACAAAAAAGTTCAGTTTCTACGCTACAAGTATATTCTTTACTACATACAACATACAAGAGAATTATTCTTTATTTACAGCACTTATGCAATATTCTCATAAAACTTCACTCTGTTATTCGAAAATAACACAAAGTGAAGTGATAGATGTTCAAAGTTTTCTTTCTCTCCTCTTTTACAACTGGTATAAATCTAAGGTTATCAGTATAACAATAATAACATTAAAAACTTCTAGGTACTTTTTTTGATATATTTTCAATTTTTAACTAAAATAAGAAATGATTTAAACAAAAAAACGATAGAACAAACTGATATCAGGAAAATACATAGTCATTACAAAATGCTAACCAAGATGAATTATTTAAATGTAAGGCCTCATATTCAAATATAATACACAAAAATCAAAAATTTACCAACTAAAATACGACCACCAATCAGCAAAACATACATGAAAATACAGGCTTCTAACATGATAATCTAATTAAAGTATACTCCAAATGAAGTTGGATAAACACAAGTATCTTTCTTCTAAGTAATACTGAAGTAAGACTAAATTCATGATCTGAATAAACCTAGATGATGATAAATATACATCAAATTTTTAATTTGAAATAAACAATGCTAAGTTACTCCAGCTTCATTTTCAAATGAGTACTAAAGATGTAAATTATATTACACAAGTAACAACAAACTAAGCATAAAATGTAGCACAGATGCAGTTATTCTTTGACGTTTCTAATATTATAAAATATATCTAAGGCTTACAGTTACACAAATGATTCTATAATACATCTATTTAACTTTAGAATTATATGTGTAAAACTTCTAACTTAGAGCATTTTATAATTAACTTAAACATACATTTATTTGTTTAAGAAATCATTATCTTTCTGATAAAGATTAATGCTATCATCATTTGCTCATCTGTAGTTTGTCAAACTAGCTTTCTGGAGCTACTGTGGCACAAAGTTAAGAGCAGCTTATACTGTAAATTATCAAGCAAACACAAAATTGTTCTCCACATCATAAGCCAGTAATGGATATGTAGTGGAAGACTGTATCATGGGTTAGTTCCCCCTAATTCACTCCATAGAGTTGCACAAGTAAACCACTCAACTTTCCCTTTCTCCAGTGCATATGGTATATGAATTCAGTAAGTGATAATTAGCCACATTTTCTTACAGGAACAATAACTTGTAACATTGTGAGATAGATGGTTGTCATTTTTCCTAGTGAATCAGTTAGTGGCTAAGGGCTAACACACCCTTTGAACTCAGATCACAGTGGATGGAGATAGCACGCACAAAGTGGAGTTGTGTACTAGCCTGGATTTTTGTGGTGTTGGTGTTTTTTAAAATATAAAACCAGGTTTGCCCCAATAAGTAGACCTTTTAGAATTTTATTAACATAGTTTAAGCATTTAAATTTTTTTATTTTAACTTAACTTGCTGGAATTGCTTTTCTTTTTTTACATTTAACATTAGTTTTAAAGTAGCTTACAAGAGGAAGCACAGTGCTCTGCTAAGAGAAACTACTAAAAGTTTCTTCACTCTATGACAAATAAACATTTGTCCTTTTGTTTTTTCTCTGTATGTAATAAAAACTGGCCATATGTGTATTCTGTGCACAGAAAGACAGTAAACATATGCCCAAGTCAACAATATTTATTAAATATAAAGACAAAAACAAAAGGATGTATTTATTTAAGTCGGAGTTCAGAGAGAAGTAAGAAATACTTTGTAACTCAATATTCTTAAACCTCCAGTTAGCAGACCCTAATTAATTATGCTGAGAGATATCTGTGACCCAGAAGTTACCACAAACTAAGAAACCGAGGAACAGAAAATACTGAAATACACAAAATCACCACTCTGAGAACAAGTGTGAACTGTAAACAAGAAAAAATATTCTAATTTGTTTTTGCAAGAATGTGTAGCATCCTGAGATCTCATTGGCAATTCTAGGGTTAAAAACATGCATCTTATTATAAGTTAATTTTGACTGTCATAAATTACCAATCTAAATTAAATAAGAATTAAAATTATTTCAACTGGCAGGCAATTTCTGGTTGCCATTTATAGAATTTGAAGCTTGAATTTGTAAACTGTTCTATCAATTTCATAAAAAACGTGAATTTTTCATAAGTTCCATTTTAGTTTGCAATGTGAATTTCAAATAAAAAAAATAATAAGTTTTTCTAAAATGTAATTTTGGAAAAAACTTTTTTGTAATACTATATTTTTGCATAAAATAAATTGAAAAACGTATTTACATCAAACCTTTCACTACTATTTTGTGAAAAATTGGTAGACACATGTCCCATGGGTAGAGAGAAAAATAAAATAACCACTTACAATTTTTAGAAAAAGATACATGGAAAACAATGGTTAACCCTCTCTATATTATCTAAATTGTGCAATTTGGAGCAAGCATGTGTCAGATGATACTGAAAAGTGAAGATTGAGAAATATTTCCTTTAGAAATTAAACTTATGTAATATTAAAAATTGATTTATTAGCTATTATTTTGATGTGAAGTTTATTGACATATATTGAAAATAAAGTAGTTTAATTAAACTTTGAATGTAATTCTGTGAAGGGTTAAGATCCTTAACATTTCTACCATATAATAAGAAAAAAATTTTGTTTTAAAAGATATGCATTCATAGTGTTGTCCTTAGAAAATCATTGTATAATAATCTAATTAAAATATTATTAATCAACGCTTTAGAAAAATATACAGCAAATTCAGTTTTTAAACTGATTTTTTTAAATTTTAATATTTAGAAAGTTTAACCTGTTTTTGCAAGATGGTACCATATGATACGAGACATTGGATGACATTATCACCTTCAGTTCTAAATTAAAAAAAATATTTTGAGTATAATATTATCAACTATACTTACCTTCCATTGTGGAATGAGCAGTTAACCATTCAGGTAGAGAAAGCAAAGACGATGTTCTTGAGATTAAGAAGTCTAGGAAGTTACAACAGTGGTCAAGAGAGATCAAAGGGTGAGATAAGACAATATCTGAAAAGTCTTGAAGAATAGCTTCATGATTTGATAGCTGTCAACAAAAGAACAACAAGGCATGAGCTAAACAGAATTAGTTTCAAATGTCAAAGACAGTCAAACATCATTAGTACGATGAAATATAAAAAATTATAATTATTTCTTGCAGATATCTTTTAAATTTGCTCAAAAAACGTAGATTAAAGCTTTGAATATTTTATCAGAGAAACCACAGGTTTCATGTGTTATTATGAAAATCATTTCAATTTTATCAGGGAATCACATATCTTTCAAACTTACTATTTTCTTTAAGAAACAAACACACTACTTCCAAATAAATATACAAACTCACCTGTTTGTCAACAACAACAAATGCATCATTTGAAACCAAGTCTAAAAACTGAAGGAGTCTATGTAACTGCTGACGTCGTTGCCATGGCAAAAAGACTAGTAACAACTGTAACACTTCTTGTGCCTGAGCAGGTTTATTTTCTCTAAGAAGCTTTATAACAGCCAGGTATATCTGTAAGTAGGACTGAGGAAAGATTGATGATGGAAATCTTTGACAGTACTCCACAACAGCTTGATAACAATGCTGCTTGCAGGCTTGTGCTGACCACAGTTTATCAATACCTTCTGGAGGTCCATTCATACAAGCAGTTGCCAATTCAACCCACGGAATTCTCCACAAGTCTTGTCGGACAACAGATTTAGCAAAGGAAGGGTGAGTGCTTTCATTCTGTATGATAAAGGTTTCTTTAGATGGGCTGACTTTCGGGAGATCATATGGAGTCATCAGAATTGGTTCCAAGACAGGAATATCAACCAAAGTTAACAAATGGCTAAGAGCCCTTTCTCTTACATGTTCTGGAACTGTAAAACAAATATCATTGAGTGTTCAAAAGTCATCAATATACTTGAACTGTAAAACAAATATCATTGAGTGTTCAAAAGTCATCAATATACTTGCAAACTTCATACTTATTCACTTTAATTGTTGAGTCTGCATACCATAAAATTTACAAAAAGTGACTATTTAACTCTCTCAATGTGACCGACCATGTGACTTCTTTGTACTCATTTAAAGTCTTTATAGTTTTGATACTACTAACTTTTAAAATAGTATGTATATCTTCACAAAACTTGGCATTCTTTCAGTAAATATTACAAGTCTTTCACATACAAAAAATCATATTTTTAGTGAAGTATTTTTGATAAACTAAAAAAAGATTTGTCTGTGAATATATCGAGTGGTGAACAAAATAGAGAAGAGGGGATGCCTAGAGAAATTGTTACATTTCTCATACTAGATTGTTAGCTACGATTGTATGCTATACTAATTGGTATAACATGAACAAAAAGTAACTTGATTAAAATTTCAATGTAAGTCATTAAAACCTTGTGACATGCACAGTAAAGGATAGCTGGGGCAAGAGGGGTAAGTTAATCAACATATTATGATTTAGATGATTTAAGTATAGTGCGAGAGTCAAATTTAGTTATTTTTAGAAGCGATAATTTATTGCAGGTTTGTTACATAACTGTGGACGGATTATATGTTGTGTAGTTCAATTGTTGTGATATGACATCATATTACTCGAACCTTCTGAATTTTTTTTTGTTGCTTTAATTATTGAGTATTGTTGTATCCTAATGTCTAGTAGCGTGTGGAATATTTGAGACATCAATAAAGTCAATAAGATATTGTTAGATTGATATATAGATTTAGACTGCATGATTGTGAGTCTAACCATAAAGAGCATATAGTGGTGATTTTTTAAAGTAAATTATCACAGATTGTATAATAACAACAGAGATAAAGATTAATAATGTGTCTTGCTGTAATCACAAATGCTTAATGAATTGAAAATTAAAGTTCTGTTCGTGATTATGCATACATGTCCATTGAAAAAAAGAACATACATCATGTCTAATGTATGATAGAAACCTAATAAAGAACAGATAACCAAATAAGGACATGAAAGATGCTAAGTAAAATATACAAGTTGACTGAAAATGTTGTAATATGAGAAGTACAAAACAATGGTTCTCTTATCAGCATTAAAAAGACAATGGTGGTAGAGAAAAGCAATGAATCTTTATGATATCAGACACCAAACTAACAGAAATGTCATTCTAAAAATGAGTGATGGAACTTTGATTGGAAGCAACAAATGGAGAAGTATATGTGAAAAGACCAGTGTTAAATGACTTATTGTACCAACCAATTAACAGATAGTTACGGTTTTGGTTTAGTAGAAGCCATGAATGTACCAATGAAATGAAGGAACTATTTGCAAACTAGGTATAAAGTATTGGTTGAGAAATCTGATGAACACAAGAAATGTGTGTAAAACATCATGTTTTTGGTCTAGATTAAGAGCTCCTCATTTGATCCAGAGTTGCAGCAAAATATGGTTGTACTGGTTGAGAAATCTGATGAACACAAGAAATGTGTATAAAACATCATGTTTTTGGTCTAGATTAAGAGCTCCTCATTTGATCCAGAGTTGCAGCAAAATATGGTTGTAATCCATCGTATAAAAAAACCTTTGCCTCACAAACACTTTTTAAGTTAATATTGCTACCCCCCCTCTATTCTAACAACGTACTTAGAAAATATTGTATGATGTCTGAGAATAAGCTTATGTTAAAGGAGACTTCAATTGTAGACTTAGAAAAACTAATAGTAGAAGTAACACAGTTACTGAAAGATATAGAAGTTTTAACTAAGTTAGCGAAACATAACTATGTTTGAATGTATTTCATGTATTAACCTAGTCAATAACTTGTTTGGTATAGTGTCTATGTTGATGAATCTTGCAGAAGGTTTGATTAATGAAAAGTTAATCATTCAAAACAAAGAATTTAATGATTTTGATGCAGAACTATTTTGTGATAATTTTAGTAACACTGATGTTGATGAATACCTGAACATTTTTCATTAAACTTTTGCTTTATTTTGAATGTAAATTTCGTCAAATTGGCAGCTTATGTGCTTAACCCATGATTGCATAGCCTGGATTATAAATAAATTCATTTGTAACTTGTGTGAAGTCAAACCCAATGACTAAGCCCACCAGCCACCCATTACAATACACTCAGACCATTAAGATGTGTTCAGATTGGGAATTTAGAATTTCCAATACATGTACATCCTTTGTACTTAATGGCACTTAAAAACAAAGAAATATGGATCAACTTAAGGCACCAAGACCATCCAAAAATAGACCTACAATAAGTCATATCCCAACTAAGATAAGCAAAGTGCGACATAATGTAACAGATGAGGATCCACAAGCACAATGTTCAGTGGCAAAAGTATGGAATGAGGCAATAGGGTATAGGATCACAAGATAAGGCTTCCAGTCATAACTCCCATTCAACCATCACATGCCTCAAACATCTAGAGAATGCAATGGATATTCCATACAAACAATACCAGCCAAGTCATCAGAAGTAGTACTTATAGTTTCTTTATGATTAGAATGTTGAAGGGCATTGAGAAACCACTGCCAAGGAAACATACTCAATTACTGTAAAATAAAAGGATATTCAGAACATTCTCCACTATTCTAATGTTTCCTTTATGGCTCTCTTGAAAAGTAGTGAAATGAGAAAATCAGGACTGTCTGCAGGATTTTTTGGAGGGGGTGCAAAACTTGAAATTTTGCCAGAGTGTATCCTAGTCACCAAGCACAGTGAGGCTACCACCCTAGGGGGGGCATCCTCCTCCAGAAAATATAAAAATCTAAAGATCAAAACTATGTAAAAAAATGTCCAAAAATGACCTCACCTCATGTTACATAATTGTTAGTATTTCATTAACAAGAATATCTATACAAAGTTTCAATGACATCCATGCAAAAATGGGCAAGTGCTAAAAATGTAAATTTGCATATAGTTTATTTTCTGTGACCTTGACAATTTCCTTTCATGAAAGTAGATTGTCCAACTCAATCCTGCATAGATGTAAATTAGCAAATTGAGTTACAATTACATCTGTGTTCACAGATGGACTTTTTAAATGGCTTTTCTTTTTAATGTTTCCAAAAAAGGCTCATTATTTAAAAACAATCTTCTTGTTTCCATGTTAGAAACTACACTTTGTAATATTAATGTTTTTTGCGTAATAACCATTAAGAAAACAACGTGTACTCAGTCTATATTGGGCCAGCCAGTTGGCGATGTAGCCCAAATTAGACTGAGAAAAGTCAGTCATCAGGTTAGATCCAGCCAGGCTGCCTAGATTAGATTCTAGTAGATATATTCTAGCCCTACATCTAGATCTAGTAGGTCTAGATCTAGAAATCTAGCCTAGTATTAGAGATCTAGAAACTATATTCTCAGGCTCTAGCTCTGAAGGGTTCCTTACTGGAGCTAAGCTTATATCTAGAAATATAAGCCTTAGATATCTAATCTACCTGCGACAAAGTTTGTTGAAACAATCTTTTATAGTCTGACACCTAGGAGGTGGCCGTTTGTAAGGTGGCTTAGTAGACATGATGATGTTATGTAATAATAGATCTATTGATTTCATCTGTCGACAGTGCATTTTGTTTTGCCATGTGGCTATGTACACTAACCTAATGCATCCAAACAAACACTTTCAGCAGAAGATGTTAATAGGTGTATTTTTGCCTTGAAATCACTATCACTGTGACAGTCAACCAATCATGTGCGTCTTTACAAATGAATTTTGTAAAGTATGGTAATCTAACTTGTCATACGTATTACGAAGTTTACTTCTTGAGTCAGAGACTACTGTATTAAACGGGTGTTAAAAATGTATGTACATGTATTCATTTATGTTATTAAGGAGAGGGTGCAACCTCGGTGGGGAGGGTGTTCACACCCCTGCATGGATGAGCCTGAAAATCTCTAATTTTAATGTAGATGTATCATTAAATAAGAAGACTATGGTTATTTAATCCAATGTTTTTTTTATTGTGACACTGTACAGTACAGATTGTGGGGATTCACATAGACTGTGTTAAAACACCATAAATAAACTTCTTTTCATTTTATTTTGCAAGTTTTGGTAAATTTGAATAATATTTGATTTTTTGTGAAGCAAATATCCAAGCAGGCTTTTAAGTACTTGCAATATTTCTATATTTTATCAAGAGTAATAAGCACTACATGTTTGTAAAGTAAGTAATTCTTTCAAATGATACATTTTCTCTCTCACTGTCTTTAAGGTTACTGCTGTAGCCATATACTGTACTATATAAAATCTTTAAAGTGCTTTACATATCAAATAATATTGTGAGAAGTTCTTTGACTGAAGAAGGATCCATATATCACTGAAACAAGTGTTTTATGTATAGGAAGCCAATAATCTGTTTATGTAAAGACATCAATGCAAAAAGGTCTGCAAGAAAATACAGCAACATAAGAAATACACTGAAAAATAAACTTTTTGCAAAGATAGAAGAATATTGCTGTAACAATAGCTTTTTTTAAAAAATGTATCACAATAACAAATGTATCAAAATATCAATGCAAGAAAGTGCTTTATATAAAGATAGTACCATATTATTGTAACAAGTATTTAATGTATCTTATGTAACTCTAATAAGTATGTCATCCAAATATAAACCTCAATATTATTGTAACAAATTTTCCTAAATACAGTTGAATACTTTGTAAGAACTTCATATAACCAGCTATCAATGACAAGTACTTCATGTAAATAAATTTTACATTTTTTAGTCAATGTAACAATTGCTTATTTAATGCAGTATCATATTATCAGAATAAATTTCTTCTATCCAGAAAAACCCTTTTTTTAATCTGGCAACTTAATGAATATTCTAAACAAGTTTTGAGTGCTTAAATAGCTTACCTTTTTGATTCTCATCAAAATCACCTAACTTCTGACCAGTAAGTTGAACCATTGACTGAACAACAGAAGAATGTTCTCTGGAAGGTATGCGAGGTCGTAACCGTGCTAGAGAAACACGTAAACTACTTCGGGTTAAAAAACTGTTCTTCCTTTTTAAGCATGGCTGAAGTTGTGAAAGGTTTCTCGGTTTATTATTACTATTGTCCTGAAATCCTGACTGTAGGGCAAGAGTAAAGCTATGCCTTCGTCGTAAGGTTCGAGAACAAGATGAACTTTGTGAAGTTTTGCAAGTGAAATTTCTATCCAGAGGGGACAGTGGAGATCGACTGGTTGATTCTAATGTCGTACATTTTGAACAGTCTATCACTGATTCAAGATCAAGCGACGCAGCCCGTTTTTTGAATGATGCTCTATGATGCTTAGGTGATGTTATCTTAGATGCAGGGGACGCTGAATGGTAGCTTGGATTATAAACACCAGACATTTCCCCTGTTCTTTCTGTAACTCTTGTTGGGAGATAAAGCCTAAATAAGAAATTAAATTTTAATCAAAAATCTATTTATAATTTTTGTGATATATATAATATAGAAATAAATAATCCTATGAACATGGGTGAAGGACAAAGTGTAAATGTCATGATATTTTACAAATTTGCATTCAAAATTCTATTAAACAATTTTATTACCAACATGCCAATAAGCTTTTTATCAAAACATAAATAATGTAAAAAACTTGAATTTTAAACTAAGTTTTAAATTCTTCATTTTAAAAGGAAATATATAAATTCTCAATCTGCAACTTTCAGAGTCACATGACTTGGTGGCACTGTGATTTCTCATTTATAGATTTTTCTCTTCTTTTACAAGCTCTTCAGATTGTTCAACCAATTAGAAGCAGGTGCTATAAATAATGACACATCAGAATATAAATTTTCAATTTTTATTTCTTGCTTTACTGAGATATCACTATATTTGTCCAACCCACATTGACACACCTGTCTTTTAAGAAATGCACACAAATCTCTCTGACATTCATATTGGACACGCTTATAACCAATAGAAAGAGCATATTGTACACTACATAATGAGATGATTGTTTTGTTTGTGAGATAAAAATCAATAATTTGCCAAAAGAGCTTGATGTGTTTGGATTGTAGACATTGCTTTAAGAAGTGATGAAAGTTTTTAAAATTATTTACAGGTTAGTTAGAAAGCCCGATAAATTACAGCAGTTTCCATACAAGCTAGTAAAGGATATGTTTTTCGTTTACTAAAATTTATGTTTGAAAGCTGCATGAATTATTTTCTGGACAACCAACATAATTAGAGAAAAGAAGGCTTACAAAAGTAGGCAATCAAGTGCTAACTGGCCTAGAGCTAAGGTAGGTTATAAATTTCTTGTGTTTTTTTTTTTACTTATTTTCTAATAAAAGTATATCAAAATGTAAAATTAAACTTATTAGGTTAGATAACAAAATTTAAATAAAAGAAAAATGAATAAAACATTCTTTTCTTGTAGGAAAGTACACAAATATGCATGATGTAATTTGATTTGTTTGTTTACTGTCCTTTCCTACCCAATATTTTACTGTTTGTAACAGTAATAAAACATGGTTCAGAGAGCAATAAAACAATAAAATCAATTGAAAGCAAATGTGAAAAGTCAAGAGGCCTAAAACTTAAGTAAAAAGTCATTCTAGAAAAAAAAGGAAGTTTTTTTTATTTTATATTTTTTACCTTTTGCTACAGATGATTTTACTTAAATTAATGTTAGGGTCAAAAAAATTAAGAGATAGAGTAAGTGTATGATTATTCATTTAGGAAGTTATAGAGGTTATGTAAATGAAATGTGAAAACTGCAATATGAAAAGAAATTTTTTATTCTTAGCATGAAAATCACCTTCCACTCATACTGACTCAGTGAAGGATTTGTATATTCAAAGAAAAATCTTTAGTAAAAATACTTGATTAGAAATTCTGATTTTTCAAGTACAACAGACTTGTTATGTTTACTAAAAGCTTGCCAAATTTCATGGTTACAAGGTTGTTTAAAATGAACAAGCCCAATCATACAGAGGTAAATAGCAGTGAGTAAAAGTTTAATATTTCTTTATAACATTTGATTATGCATTAAATAAATTTAACTACACATTACCTGCCCTTTTCATCTTCTCCAGAATGAAGTGGACTAAAGTGCCATAATTCCATTGCTAGAAATCTGTAGAATCTATTGCTGCAGTCTTCAAAATGTTCTTTACCAAGTAATGGCTCAAATATCCGGTGGTCCATCAATGCCTGACAAACCTGAACAATCCCAACTTTTACAGAATTAATATTCTTTACTTTTATGAATACAAAAATAAGAGTATTTTTTAAAATTTTATAATTGCTTATCCAAGATTTTTTTAAATACTTTTGAACCTTGAAAACTTATTAAATGGACAATTATCACAACTGACATTTTTATTTCAAGTTACTTTACATATATATGCTACCACAACAAGATATTCCACATAGTTGTGAAGGTGTAATTTAACAATTAAAACAAGCCACAGGAATATCACTGCAGTAAATAAAAATAGGCTTAATGTATATTAAATGCAAGTCCACTGATGATTAACAATACAGATCCAATGTTATAACTAATGGTATAGCATTTGATGCACAACTTTTTAAACTGGAGTAGTTACGTGTTTAATACTTCTGGATACTATTAATTTCCATTGGATTTGCTCGTCTACTAAAATTTACAGTGTGCTGTACATGTGACAGAAAAATGATTCTAAAAAGATAATTTTTCAATGGATGAAGAAAAAATTAGTGAGAAATGATGTATGTTAACAAGTGCTTCTGAAATATTTTCCATAATTTTTGTGAAATAATTTTAGCTCTAGAAGAAGCTTGAATATATCTCTGTACAATAATGTACCTACTTTTTCCTTTCAATGAACAATATACATTTATATACAGTACCTTAACAGCATTTTGCCTATTAAGATCTTGATTCAGGAACACAGATTCATTGTGTTGTAGAAATTTAAAAACAATATCTACTGCATTACTACCAGTAAATACATTATCATAATGTTTAAGCAGGTAACGCTTTTTTCCAACATCTGCATGCTGTCTTAGATGATTAATAATCTGGTACCAAAGTCGAGTGGCTCTAAATGGTCCTGGAAAGAGAAAAAAGAAAATGTTGTAAGTTATTACATCTATGTTCCATAAACTTTTTACATATTAAAAAATATATTTGATTGATAGTAAAACATCTAGGATCAAAAAGGTTAGTTAATTACACTTAAAAAATATAATGCAACCTAAGCATCTTTAACAGGTGGACCTGTTCAAAGTATTATAGTTTTATTATGTGAAAAATATAGGTTTCAAAATGTTTTTTAAACTCTGAAACTACCAAAATATAATGAAAAGAAACTCAATGGATTGAGGCTCAAGCAAAGATAACAATTTTGAGGTATGGGAGGATGAGGCAGCTGGGATTTACTATGAAGTTCAAATAAAAAGATAGTGACATTAACAAGAACTAGCAGAAACAATGACTTACGGGCAGCTGTTTGTGCTAGTAATTACTACTTGTTGTATTCATATTTCATTGAAAAAAATTCAGAAAAATTAAATATTTTCTAAAAATGGATTTTTCTGTAAAGTAATACACAGGAAAATTGTTCAGATTGTGCACCGATATAAACTGTAATGTTTTTATATATGAAAAGTGGTACCTTTTATTGAAAAAATAAGTTTTTCTTTTAAGAACTCCAATCTATGGTACTATATTTACAAAGTACATCAATAAAAATATAATTAAACCCACATGTACAGTCCTAGTGAAAGTCACATTCTTGTTATGAGGAGAGTACTTTTATTTAAAATTGTTTTCTGTGAT